CGTGGAGGAGGGGGTTTTTTCCCCCCCCCCCCCCCTTCCCCCTTATGATTCAGATCATGCATTTTCATATAAGTGAACAATTACTGTATTTCAGTATAACCAGTAGGTCTTTCTTTTACGTTTTGATGCTTGGACAAATCTCAAATTTAGTGTATTGGCAGAAGCTGATGACTAAAATCTTCTCTAAAGCAGTCCTGAAAGTTCCAGGCCTAAGGAAGGTTGGTTTGGCATCAGCTCTATTTTCCTGCCATGCAAGAATTGTTCAAAACTTTTTTCAGCTTAAGCTCTCCATTATTTTTATGAAATTAGTTGCATGCTATTCTTCTAGATCAGCTTTCTCTTCAACTAACCAAAAGGGGGAAGCAAAAGCATTTGACTCCTGTTCTATAATGCTTTTGAAAGTCTTTTTGTATAGTAAGAGACTAAGGCCCTGACGCTCTTGAGATTTATCCAGGTGCATAACCTTCTATGAGTAGTTATGCTGATGTCTGTGGTACTACTCAGGCTGTAAACTTAAGCATGTATGCAGAGCTTTAAGTTTGGGGTCTAATTTTTTTGAAGGCAATTCTTCTTATATTGATATAGCAAGAAGATAGATATCTAACATGTACTTAGTAGACTATTCTTTAAGTAAGGGATCATTTTCTCTATCAAGTACCTAAAATCTATGAGGTTTTGTGGCTTTTTTTTTAAAGCCACTTAGTACAAATGAGAACTCAAGGAGAAGTCGGTATAATATATTGATGTGCAGTTGCTGTACTTGGTTCTAGTACCTCTGGGGTGTAGCACTTTATAGAAGTTTGGGACTGAAAATACCAGTCTTGTAAAGTCTCCAGATTTACTTTACTGTTCAAGATGAATCTTTTTGATTATAGTAAGGTTTTAAGAGAGATTCAGGTCGAGACCTTAACTAAATCACTCCTTTTTGTGTTGTTTGTTTGGGGTTTTTTGGTTGGGGGGGGAGGCATTAATTTAACTTTTTTTTTTTTTTTTTTTTTTAACCCACACTAAAGCTTTTCATGTTGTGCATATGACTTGACTTAGACCTGATACTACAAATGTGCATCTACTCCTGATTTAATGTTTTGTTGACTATTTGCATAGTGATTTACAATATCCAATTTTTTTTTTTTTTTTGTCTTCAGAATTCTAGTATACAAGAGGCAGTTGAGATGAGCTGTTGAAACTGCTGACTTAGTTTTAGTGATTTAAGTACTGTCAATCCACTATTAACACGAACACACCCACCACCACCACCACCCCCGGTAAAAAAAAAAAAAAAAAAAAGGATCCATGTGCTAATTGGTCCCCCACTCGTGACTGGAACTAGGTGTTCTTGTCATGAGATCTTACAATAATTTTTCTGCAAATGAGGCATAGGGCAGCCTGGTCTGGCTTCACCTAATGGAGGGCGTGGCCACAGTACTCGCCTGCAGCAGGATGAGAGAGGGGCTGATAGGGATTCTGGATGCATGGTTTGAGGCCCCATTTGGTGATGTTTCTCAAACCTTTAAGGGTGTTGGGGGGGGGGGGGGAGGTACAGCTCAGCTTTGGGAAGTCAAAATGCATTCAGTGTGGTGGCTCACCATGACTGGAAAGTTGGTGTTGTGGGGGGAATGTGTTCAATGAGCACTACTATATTATTTAGATGGGGTGTACTAGCCTATCCTTAATGGTAGTTTCCCATCAGCAGGGGAACACTATGTATCTGAGTCCATAAAGGCAGTTTTCCTTAAGCATAATTCTTCTGG